GACTAGAATTGGTGAAATATTTCAAAATAAAGTTAATGATAATAACACTACATAACATAGTTACCAGATGTACATTTGGAGTGTCCAAATACCCCTCAGGAGATACGTCTTGACCTATTCATTAAAATACACAACGCTTCCCGCAGTTTCCTTGCTCTCTACTGACAAAGGGATTGACTGAATGTTTACTATTTTGAAAGACCTGCTGCGCTGGTTCTGTAACATCATGTTTCTGACACTTTCACAAGAAACTTTGGGAAGTTTCCTTCCTGGCAAGACCTTACTCACGAATAAAGTCAGTTTGGTTCGTGAGCTACAACCATTATAATTTGGGTCCGTCATTTTAGGCATTTTTGTTCCAAATGGAGAAGGGTAAAGTCAAATCGCATTGTGTATATTGTTAGCACAGTTTGAGACAATACTGTTGGTGTTTATGTACAATACTCTACCTAATAGTTGCAAGACACTGCTGAAGCTCCTGTAGATCCAGTCAAATATAAAAGACATTTCTCTTGACTGCCTGTAATACAGAGAACAAAACTGAAATCATTTATCAAGGCACATTAAAGAAGAACACAACAAAGTGCACATATGCGATCTCTCAGTGATTAGCTCATCTTCAAGCTGTAAGCAAGCCCCCTCTCCCACCGTAAGCACATGTCCCGAATAACAACACAGCAGTACAAATGGCCAAATAAAAGAGTATAGTATATTTGAATGTATGGCTGCGAACGGACATGGTTGCATTACAGATTCTAGCACTGAAGCTCATTGTTGATCGTTATTCCTGACCCCTGGATTACTCTTCTGGTATGTGTAAGCTCTGTGTAATCACACAAGGTTTAAAGTTTGAAAGGAAAGGAGGGCAAACTGAGCAACAACCCGGCTTTATGGTGATTTTTAGATGCTGGTTTTGTTCTGAGAGCCGTCTCACTGACCCACACTGATCTTCCTCTGACTATTTTTATGACAGGTTGTGGCAAGGACACTTGATCTCGGCAGTCACCCCCTGCTTCCCTCTCTCGCTCACTCACTCACACACACCTGTTACTCTCTGTGGGACTTAATGTGCTTGTTGCAGTGACTAGTGAGGCCTTCAGTGACTAAGGCTTCGGGAAATTACCCACTTGTTGATTACTTTGTACAATGTTTCAGCCGGGTCATTTGTAAACAACTCCATATATAAAGTATGACATTTGAGTCCTATGTCTATGGATTAAATACTATAACGCAACAGACTGAGATTGTTGTTTAGTAGGTAGTCATGTCACAAATAGCTGCAGGTTTTTCTTGCAAACCCTTAAACCAGTATCCCAGTATAAATATACATGAATTACATCATAAAACACGACCGGCCACTAAACTCATGAATGAGCTCTTCAGAAACGATTGTTCCAGTGATTTCACCATCACTGCCACAGTTCGGCTTGTTAAAATAGTTACCTAGTAGCAACGACACCAGCCGCCACAGCGTAAACAATAAAACAAACAAAGTTAGTAAACAACAGCAGCGCGCAGCAGGTCCAGAATGACAAAACTAAAACTTTATAATGTCAGGAAAGCGCTTCAGCAAGCAGAAAACACTGAAATGGGAATGTGGGACGTGGACTTGAGTACATTTAATACATTTATTTGGGTTTTACCTTTGGCTGCTGCAACGATGAACTGTCCGTCCGTTGGTTTTTGGTCCAAGCCTGTCCCGTCGACTGACGTGAGCCTACAAGTTTGACAGTTAGCCGGAAGTACGTCACTAGAATAGCTAATAAGGGGGCGGGGCGAACGTGTTTTTTTTTTTTTTTTGTCCTGAACTTTAAAAACATAATGTGACGATTTAAGAATAAAATAAAATAATAAATAAACATGTTCAAGGAAAGACAAATCAAAATATATAAATCGGACACATTGTACCACACAAAGCACTATACTGTATATTATATTACTTTATTTATGCATTATTGTGTGTATTACTTCAGTGTTGCAGCTGGTAAAAGTGGAGCTATTTTAAAACAAATGTAGTAATAAGTTGCTTACTCTATAATAGCCTACATCTTAATTTAGTTGTTAATTTTATTTTGTATTACTAAGAACTACTACTTGACAGCAGTCAAATACATGTAGTGGGGTTAAAAAGTACAATACATTGGTACAATATTTCCAAACAAACTGGAGTATAAAGTAGCATAAAAAAATACTCACGTAAAGAACAAGTACCTCAAAATTGTACAGTACTTGAATACCAGTAAATGTACTTAGTTACTTTTCCACTCCTCCTCTTTTACAATAGGAATCTGTTACATTTGGGTCAGATGTTTAATGTAATTTTCCACAATATTAAAACATAGTGTTCTAATCATAAGTCACTGCCCAAGAAAAGTACTTTTCTCCAGTGTCTAATATGTGCACAATTTA